TTGCAAACAGAAACTTTAGTATGGGACAACATAGTCAACAAACCTTCTTGAGAAAACAAAATGTTTACTCTTCACACAGGATTACTACATATTCAACTAGCTGGTCTCACTGTTTTAAACGAACTCAAAAACACACAAGCGCTATTTCCTTATGATTGGGTTATTTTTGCCATTCCTATAACACAGAAATAGAGCATAACGTACAGGCTGGCAGGCTCTGCATAACCAGACAGGTAACTCTTGCTTCAGAGATGAATGTGTTTTCTTAAAAGCAAACCCAGTGCTAGTGAGAAGCCTTTCTAATTTTGATTCCCCACATAAGATTATACAACATAATAAATAGGTGATAAGAATACCTATTAATCTAAGAAGAGCTCAATTGCACATCATGAAACAATTTCTAAAGAGAAATGGACATTTTCAGGATGCAGACATTTTCCATAGTTCTGCAAGTCCTGTGTATCTAAACAAAACAAGTCAGTTAAATTTTCTGTGCTTCCAATGATGCCATCAGGGTTAGACTTTAGAACCGAAGTCTTTTATACAGCAGAATGAATATGACTGCATCCAGTGCAGCAAGATGTTACTACACTTCAATAAATGAAGTAATATTTATTATTTATTATTACCATCCCAATCTACAGAACATCCCTAAACAATTATTTTTGCAAAATTAGATGATTGTATGGCATTAGTCTGGCTTTCAGTGCCTTCATTTACAAAGGAGGAGGAGGAGGGGCGGGGAGGAGGAGGAGGCAGCTTAATTTTCTGCTCTTTGTATCCCATAAATAATTATCCATTTTTGCATTTTGGAGATACCCAGTAGGGGACTGGGTCCCCTAAATAGAACCACTAGATGGTTATCAGCGGATGACATAAGGGTGAGTAATACCTCGGTTCACGAACGCTTCTGTTCACAAACAATTCGGTTCACGAACAGCCGCGTTGGCAAAATTTTGCTTCCATTCACGAACTCTGCATCGGGTGACAAACATGACCCGTGCCCATCTTCCCTGCTCTGACACGTGGTCGTGGCTTCCTCTAGGCGAGATCGCGGTCGCAGACAGACACTTGCTGTGAAGCTTTTTTGTGTCTCCGCAAGCAAGGTTTGTGTTCT